TCATCTGTGAGAGCACGACTTGCCTGCGGACATTCGGGAGAGAAAGTCGGTTTTTCAGGTGTAAGGGGGTTAGTTTCCTTTCCGTTATGATATATTCCTCCCCACTGCCAGGACCGCCCCCCTCCCCGAGCCAGGGTGAGTCCCAGCCGTCTCCTCAAAGCCCTGCCCTCTGGGGCCCTTATTTCCAGAGTGTTGATTGGAGCCTGTTCGAACAGCAGCCCTTCCTAAACTCTCATCGATGTCCGAGTACATGCCCTTGACGGTGCCAGGAAGTTTAAGAAGGCTGAAGGCTGCACTGTTCATAGGACCGGTTTTTCTGAACCACTTGGTCTAGAATGTTGTTTTCAAGAGACCAAACTGCCGTCCCAGGAACTTAGGAGGCACCGTTGGTTTACGTTGGACCCCCGTATTGTCTTTTCCCGTGAAACTGGGGGGTTTGTGGAGGCGCCGGTCCAGGGCCCTGGTGAGGTCCCCCGCCACCCGTCACCTCCCCGCGGCCTTGGGGACAGATACTGACGCCCCCAAGCCAGCTCAGCCAGTCGCTTGATTAAACACGTGAGCCGACAGCACGAAGGGAAGCGCCTGCTCTGAGGGCAGCTAATGTGTGTGCTTTGCTGAGCGGCTGTGGAGTTAGAGGTGAGAGTGGCAGGTGGGCCCACTGTCTGGAAACGCACCTCCGTCAGCCGCATCAACGCCCTGCCACTGGGAACCATGGGCGACACGCGGGTCGTGACTTCCACCAGAGGAACCGCGAACAGCCCCGTCAGCAGGCCCCACGCAGAGGAAGGGCTCTGGCTGGCTGTGCTGTGTTCAAGTGACAAACACACATCTCGTGTTTTAAGTTAATAGGTGGTATTTAAGGCATTTTTTCTGGTTCTCTCCCATGCTTTCCAATTCATGAAGCCGCAGACCACAACTGTGGATGAGCGGTTGGTCTCCTCCTTGTGGTGGGTTTTGAAAGACAGAGAAGGTTTGCATGATAAGTGAAAAATAAATTTATTACCGAAAAAGTCTCATTCATAATTCATTCATAAGCCATTTCAGATAATCTGCATGGACATTTTTGGCTGAAAAACCATGACACAGAGAAGGCTTCATTTGTCTGGGCCAGTTTACCTTCTGTAATAGTTTCTGTGCAGTAGTGATGGGTTTTTATTATTTTCTCTCTTTGCTTTCTTAGTTTGCAAGAGTGGCTTTTTAATTTTATTTTCTGTTTGTTGTAACTACGGCTCTAGGGGGCCCTGTCTGTTGGAACTTTCTGTGATGATGAAAACGTTCCATCTGAGCTGTGAGCTGAGAGCCACGTGGCTTCCAAGCATTAGACATGTGGCCACTGTGACTGAGGGCTGATGTTTTAATTGCACTTAGTTTCAGTCGATTTAGGTTTAAGCTTAAATGGCTGCTTGCGCCTAGTGGTGGCCACACTGCGAAGTGCGGTTCTGGGATTTTTCTCTTCTTTACACGTGGGTTCATCTCCTCCTGTCTGTTGTTTCAGCTGAAGCTCTGACGCCCTGCGGAACAGCAATGCTAACAGCAGGTCTGGCCAGGCCCTGCCTTGGGCTGAGGCTGGGTCTAACCATTGCTAACAACGCCTGCTCTCTTAGCTGCTGGGCTTGCTACGTTAGGAGGCCTCATTGTGTTATTTTATTTAGAGCTTTTAGAAGATAGCAGTGGCTGCTGAATCTCATCAGACAGCCTGGGGTGGGTAATTAGGTTTTCTTACTTCTGTTTTTGGTGGAGGTTCTGGGATCGAGCCCAGGACCTCGTACATGCTGAGCACGTACTCTACCACTGAGCTGTGCCCCCCATATCAAATAAATTCTAAGTCTATCAATATGAACAAAATTTTCCTCTTTTCAGACTGACCCTTGATTTTTATTATCACCATCTCAAACACCTAGGTTGCTACCAACATGTAACAAAAATAAATTCTCGCCCAGACCCTGGTGGCCTCATCCAAGCCTCTTTGTCTTGGGCACCGTAGACTAGTCTCTACTTTTGCAACCAGCCTTTTTTCCCAAATGTCTCTTTGCTCAAGCTGTCCTCTTGTTGGGAACGGGCCTGCCTGTCAGGCCTCCTCCTCCAGTCTGCCCCCACCCCGGGGGGGCCAATCACATCGCTGGTTTACGTTTTTATGATCACAGTGACATGTCACGTCCACCGTCCCCATTCTTGTGTAACTGTTTCCCTGGGGCGCTAAGTGCCTCGTTTCCCTAGTTTTCTGTAATCCATCAATGATTAGGCAACACCTCTGTGCCAAACAACAAGGAGCCCTGACGACAGTCAGGCTCACAGGCTGATCCGCGCCCCCACCCCTGCCCAGGTGGCCCAGCTGCTCCGAACCTCCCGCCTCCTGTGGGCACCATCCCTGCAGGTGGCATCGGCAGAGCTCCCAGGAGGACCTAGCGGGCAGGGAGGCTGGATGTCTCAGTGCTGGGAATCCAAGGCCTCGAGTTAGTTGTCAGGGGCCGGCGTCCGGGCACCCAGAGCCCTGATTCCAGGGGCTGCCCGCCACTCCCCTCCTGCAGGCTGCGCTGCCTGCTTACTTCATGCACACACACATGCCCTCTGTCTTCTGTCTTTGCTGGCATCTCCTGGTTCTACCATTGCAAACTCTTGACTGTCACTTCTTGCGGTTTGGGCAGTGGAAGGAAGAGCTCACATCCCGACTGGCAGTCTCGTGCCCTGAGACTCACCACGCAGCTGGGGCCCCGTCGCCTGCCCGCCCACCTGCCCACTCCTGGGCCTGCGGCCGCCCTTCCCACCCAGCTTGTACTGAGTTACTTGTCCCGTTACAGCAGCATTTTCTTTAAATATGTAAGAACATTATTATAGTGTGAATTTATGTGCTCAATCTATGGCATGTAGTTCAGTTTTTAGAACGAATATATATTCATTTTTATTTTAGAAAGTATTTTCATATTTCTTTGCAAAATTCGGTTTGTAGCCAACTTTTCAGTATCTGTGTTCTTGGAAGTAATACATTCCAGTGTTCAAACCAAAAACGCATAATACCCCGTTGGTGTATTTGTGCTGGCATGGTACAGGTCAAGACAGCGTCAGAGAGCAGAACTCCTGTCTCTTTCTTTGTTTTTGCTGAGGCTAGCGCACTGCTCCTCCAGTGTTGAAGTTTAAATGAAATATAAAATTTTAGAGATGACAAAATACAGTAGAAATACCTTGGATTTGTAGTAAAAATACCTGAGTTCAAATGTGGATTCATTTATGGTTTAAATTTGCAAATTATCTTGAAATCAGAATCTGTAAAAGCTGAAGTGTATGTTCATCCAGGGAACCCATCCCCGGGACTTACACAAATACCAGTGGTGCCCATTTTGTCACACTGGAGGGGTCCGCGTCAGCAGCAGGAAAGTAATGATTCTGTTAAAATTCAGCAGTTCATGGTGCACATTGGGCTACTCAAGTACCGTCTACCGCAAACCTGCTCACTTCTCCAAAGCTGCTTACGATGAACACACGCCAAGTACATTCTCAGTAATACTGTGGTGCAAGTTTGTTTCACAGAAAAGTCGCTTGGAAGACAGCTGTCTAATTAATAGGCTCTCTATTACGAAGCTTCTGAGCAGACACGGCCCACCACCCTGGGACCCCCACACGTGGCCCGTGCGCCATGCTCGCGGGGGTCGGGCCTTCCCTCACCCTCCGTCTCCCCCTCCGTCTCCCCCTCCAGCCTGCAGCGGCATCTGGGACAACATCACATGCTGGCGCCCTGCGGATGTCGGCGAGACCGTCACGGTGCCCTGCCCAAAACTGTTCAGCAACCTTTACAGCAAACCAGGTACTGTCGCCAGCCCTGCTCCTGAGCTTTAGCAGAGGGTTTGCGTCTGAGGGGCCGGTTTCTGCATCAAGGCACAGATGCCAGGAGTTGGTTTCCTTGACTGAGGGGTGGGGAACAGCTGTGCCAAGACAGGCAGGTGCCAGGATGTGCATGGTGGCGGCGCTGACCTGGGGCCATGGTGCCAGGCAGGGAGAGAACGTAGCCCTGCCGCCCATGGGCTCCCGTGACCCCAGAGAGTGTCCTCCAGGGCATTGCAGGTGCTGATGCCCAGGGATGCAGCCTGACTTCGTCCTGGCCCTGGACTGTGTTTCTCCTTCGCAGGAAGCGTCTCTCCAGGTTCTCAGCCCCACGTCACCTGAGGACCCACAGCCTCTGGGGTTCCAGCCTCAGAAGGTGCTGATGGGCTGGGGTGCCGCCTCCTCCAGGAGGTCTGCACACAGGCCCGGGAAACCTCAATGTCCAAGAAATAGACCTATGTCTTTTATAAAGCGTGGCAGGCGGGAAATGGGGGGGTGCTCTGCGGACATCTGTGCATACTGTCATGGCAACCAGCCTGAGCCCAGGCCCACGTGAGACACCCCTGAGCTGGCTGGACAGGATGGGAGTCTGCTCCCTGGGTGGGCGGGGCTCCACCGCCATTGGGGGACAGTGGAGAGGACAGAACGGGGCCCGCAGAGAGCAGGTCTCTGAAAGGAGTAAGGCCAGGTAGAGGTGGGGCGGGTTCAGGGACCTGGAGATTTATTCTGACAAACTGGGACCTGGGGCGGGCTGGATGCCTTCGAGAACTAGGGGTTCTCAGAGTTAGGGAGAGGGCGTGTGTGCTCTGCACCGGCAACAACCTGGCGGGGTGCACGTGTCCCCAGCCTGGCAGCTCGGGGTCTGAGCCCAGCTAGCAGGGGTCAGGGCCAATGCTGTGACCGAGGCTCTTTTCGGGACAATCACACACAAATGTACACTCCATGAGCAAGGTCAGGAGTGTGTCTCAGCTTTGGGGAGCTGGGGGGCACCTGTTGCCACTGTCCTGAGGGCCCCCACTCACTGCAGCTAAATTAGGGCCACAGTGGGGAGAGGTCACAAAGATTATGGGGTCCCCACAAAGTGGGGGAGGCCCCCAGATAGGAGAGATCCCCACAGGTTCAGGGTTGGGGAGAAGTTCGCTCACAGGAGGGAGAGGAGATCCAGGCTCCTGAGTCCTGAAGCTGTGCCCCCACCTGGCCCCTCCCTCACCTCCCCTTCCCCCTCACCTCCTGAACTTTGCGTGCTGCTGCCGCAGGCCTTTCCCGGGAGCTCACTTTCCACCTCTTCTCCAGTGTCACGGAGGTGTGGGAAGCCAGGCAGAATGAGGAGCCCGTGGGGAATCCCGACGTCACAGGACGAGTTTTGTTTACACGTCTTCTTTAGTGTCTGCTGTTCACCCAGTGAGGAGTGACTGGCTCAGCCCTCTGCTGTCTGGTCCCAAGAGCAGGCAGGCCACAGGTGTGCTGTGCAGGTGAGAGCTGACTGCTTAGGTCTGAAGCCGGGCCCCCGGCCCTCCACTGTGTGGCTTTAGGCAGGAGGCCCAGCCCCTTTGAGCCTCAGGTTTCTCATCCAAGGGCCTCCTCGCGTAGCTGTCAGGGTGGCCTGAGCACCTGCTGCCACCACTGTTGTCCCTCTCTTGACTCTTGTGGCTCTGACGGGCAGGCCATCCCTGTCCTCTGTGGCCTCGGTCTCCCTGCCTGTGAGGTGGGGCAGGGGGGCCAGGCCGCAGAGCCTTGCCCCTCAGGGTTCTGTCTCTCCTCGCTGTCCACTGCAGCCCCTGCATCCGAGCTGCCCCTCAAGCGCCGGGAGCGGGAGCAGAAGCGGGTTTAGGTCAGAATCAGAGAAACCCGGGGCAGGGAGGGTGTTGGCACGTGACTGCAGGGCAAACCCAGGCGGTGTTTTCAGCGGCTCTGATCACCGCCCCCCCACCTCCAGTGGATCAGAGTCCCTCCTGCCCCCTCCACACAGTGTCCCGAGAGTGTCACCACCTCAGTGGGGACATGCCATGCTCTTCATTTCACCCGATGATCATCAGAGCAGGTGAACAAGTAGGCTGCCCTGGTGTAGAGGAAACGAGGGACTTTTTAGTCAGAAATCTCGGTCGCTACTGAACCCTCAGGACCTCACTGCCCATCTGTTACAGAGTTGGGGAGCGCAGGGCAGGGCAGGACAGTGGCTGCGGGGTGATGGGGTTTGGCTCCAGGTGCCGCTCATTTGACAGCACGTAAGTCTCTAAACTCCCGCTCTGCTCTGTGGTGATCAGGACACACTCTCGTTACCACCCTCTCCCCGTAACCACCACCGCGAGGGCCGCCGCCCAGGTTCCTCGAGGAGGCAGAGGAGGGTGGACACGCTGTGCAGCTCGGGGTTCGGATGGGGCTCTCGCTGACCCCAGAGGAGGAAGTGTCCCAGGACCACGCAGGTGCAGGCGCTGGTCTCCCCACCAAGGCCAGAGTCCATGCACACACAGGTCTAAAGCCTCGGCTTCACCTTCCAGGAAACATAAGCAAGAACTGCACCAGTGACGGGTGGTCGGAGACGTTCCCGGATTTCGTGGATGCGTGTGGCTACAGTGACTCCGAAGACGAGAGCAAGGTAAGGGCGGTGTGTGGCCCTCACTCTCCGGCCCGTTTCCCGGGGGCGCGTTGAGCCGTGTCCGTTTGCTGCCACAAGACCTGCCCAGATTCCCTCCCACTCCTCATTGGCCAAATCCAGCGAGGTCCCTGGTTCAGCTCGGTTGCCCGGCTTTTGGAATCCTGTGATGGTTCCATGATTTGGGGCGGGAAAGGCTGGTTTTCTTTGCCTGTGTCTGAAAGGGGACACCGAGCGTGGCTCTACCTACAAAATGAGCTCTAATGGGCGTCCTTTCTGCCGTGAGGGTTTCTTTGTCCCATTTAAGATTTTGCCCCCTTGTGAGCCGCGGTTTTCTTAGCCCTGAGCCAGCAGTGGGAGATGGGACCCTTATTTTGCAAAGACGCTCCGGCTGTGTCCCTGGCTGGGGCCTCACGGGCATGGCTGGCTGCTGCTGATTTTTCTCGGGCTGGGGTGGGGACTCAGGCTAGGCAAGCGTCCCCCTCAGGGCCACCCTGTTGGCCGCCCCGTAGCTTAAGGAGAGTGTTGGGGGCGGGGTGTTCCTAGGACACCCTTTCTCCAGAGATGCGATCATTTAAATGATCTGCCACTACATCTCAGCTAAACTCCATCCTGGCCTTCTGAGACTGTCCTCAGCCCCGGCACACTCACCTAGCAGTGTCCTGCGATGGTCGCTTTATTTTGCTTACACCAGAAAACTGGGTCCCTGCCTCGCCTCGGGCCCGGTGACCTGCCCTGGGACCCTGTCTGGACACGTGAGCGCCTTAGGAATCCAAACTCGGGGCTGTTCCAGACACATATCCCCATCCGATGCCAGGTGTGGGGGCACACTGGCCCCTTTAAAGAGCCCTGGGGGTGCCTGCTACACACACAAGCCCACAAAATGTGAGTGGAAATCTGTTCTGTGCAGGTGATGCCCCCTCACCTGCCCTTGGCCCCCCCACGTCAGTCTCACTTCCCACGTCCCTGGGTCCTGACACCAGAGAGACCACTGGGGCATTGCAGTCAGGGAGCTTTCCCTGGCTCAGCTCCTCATGATCCTTTTCCACAGACGGGCTCTGTGTGCTCTCCTCTCTAAGGTTTATCATTTAAAGCCAGTTCTCTTCCCACCGAGTTAGTAAACCCTAGAAAAGGAAGTGGCTCATTTTAGCTGGCGTCCCTCTGACTGGAAGATGAGTCCCGTGGCCCGTGGCCGACGGCCAGCGAGGAAGATGGCGGTGCGCCCTCACTGCCTCGCCGTCTTCTTACTGGCCGGTGAACCACACACACCTCAGGTGCACAGTGTGACGCTTTCGTGTGCACACTGTGCAACGACGCCCAGCCCTTCGCACTCACCTGGACTTGGTGAGACGCAGGACTCACTCGCCTTCTCCCTGCAAGCTTGTGCTCTTTGACTGGCGCCCCCGAGTCCCCTCCATCTTATTTAGTCTTGGTGACCACCCATTTCACAGACAGAGAAGCTGAGGTTTAGAGAAATGATGTGACGTGGCCAAGGGTCTGCCTGCCTGGAGCCAGTCCCTTTGGCCCCCCCATCGGTGGGCCGCTCCCTGGCCCCGCCGCTCTCTCCTCCCAGGTGGGAGCTGCCGCAGAGGATGTGGGACACCCCTGGGCCGGCAGCCCGGCGGAGGCTGCGCTGACCCTCCCAGCCAATACGGGGGTGCCTCCATGACTGCCCTTCCAGGGTCTCAAGGAAACCAGGTTGGATGTCGGGGCCTGGGCTTCAGGCCCAGCGTCCAGAGCCCCCAGGAAGGGGAGATGAAGGCTGGTCTGGGTTTTTCTTTGGGAACCTACAGCCAGACTGTCAGCCAGGGAATCAGGAGGTTGTCAGACTCCGTCTCCAATCCTCAGCTCTGCTGTGGGACGTCGGGGCCCTGACTGGGCGTCCACTGTGGGGAAGGGAGACCCGGTGTGAGGGGCGCGGCTCCGTGCTGCTGGACTGAGCTCCTCTGCTCTGCTCCCTCCGCTCCGGGTGTGCGTGGTGCTGAGTGAGCTCTTCTGTGTCCCGGGTCTCAGCCTCAGCCCCATCACTCGTTACAAGGCAGCCCTGGGTGGACCTGCTCCGCCTTCCACCAGCGGGAGGGCCACGTCCCAGAGGAGACACGAGGATTGGCTGACGGCCTGGCTGGGCTTACAGACCAGAGAAAATTAGACCCAGGCGAGCTTCCTGGGGAAGCACCCTGAATTCTGACCAGGAGCGGGAGGCCCCACAGTGACCAGGGATCCAGGAGAGGGACCCTGTCCCATTTCACCTGCCTCCCCTGTGGCATGTGGGCAGACCTCTCTCGGGGCAGGGAGACAGGCCCCGGCGCCTGGAGGGTGTCGGCCTGTTGTAGGCAGGGAGGGCGGGGGGGCGGGTCCACGTCTGACCACCCACGTCTCTCCACCCACTCTGCAGCTTCGGGACTCGCGTGCGTGGTGAGGAGCGGACGTCCCGAGGCCTCACCAGCAGGTTTATTTTTCAGTTCAGGATGAAGAGCTATTTTTGTTCTTAATTAAACATTTCCGAGATTCTGCAAATATCCTGAATGCATATTTTCTGCTAATGGATTAGAAAGTCAAAATATTTTCATCTGTGAGAGCGAAGAAAATAATGGCAGAAAACCAAAATGAGAGACTTTCTTCCTGACTGCAGATTCCAGCGCTGGGCAGCCCGGGATCCGCGGCTGCACGGGGAGCCCCTTCGCGGATGAAAGCCACCGGGCATGAGGGTGCTTCGGCGCCGGGCCCTGCCCCCAGGGAACGCGAGCCGCCCCGTCAGTCCTCATCTTGTCAGCAGCTCTTTCTTCCAAGTTTTATGATTTTAATTGGACTTCCTGCTCCCATTGCAGCCCTGGGTCTGTGTGTGCAATCTTTGTTAGTTTCAAAATTAATTAAATTCAAGGAAATAAATTAACCTCCACAAAAGCCCCAGGGTTGGCTGCACACGGTGAGGGAATCAAGAGATAAAACAGTCCAGAGGCGGAATCCCGAGAAGGAGAAAAGGATGTGAAGACCCCAGGGGTCCCGCGGAGTCGTGGGGCTGCTGGGTCTGGACTACAGTGCAGCCCTCACCCCATGGCCTTCCTAGTCTGTCCCTGTCCCAGCAAAACCAGCCTCAGGCGTGTGCACCTTCACCTTAGGCCTTTTGTCTTTTAACCACCAGTTAAAGGGTTTAATCCCATTAGGAAGATTTAAGGACACCCTCCCCCCCACCCCCGCCACCCTGCCGCCCCGCCCACAGGCATCTCACCAGCAGCTCCTCTTCCTCTTCTCCCATGTCCCAGCCTGCTGGGCACCGCGGGGAAATCGGGCCAGCCAGAGACCCTCTCAGCTGCCCCCCCGAATCACGGGCGTGCATGGGTTTCCCTACCAGAAGTTGTGGGTCTCCTGTACTACGGAGGTTATCCTGGCATCATGGTCTCAGCCTCAGATGGGATGGCCAGTGCTGGTCATTCCACTTGGTGTCATCTCCCTGGTCACCTGCCCCTAGGCCCCCGACCCATCGTGCCCCAGACCCTGGACTTTCTGCCCGGGTGGCTCCTGCCGCAGCACGTCAGGTGGACCCTGGTCTCCTGACTTTCTTCCTCCATCAAAGGCTGCCCAGAGGCTCCTGGTCAGAGCACTCCCTGGGGCCAGCCTCGGTGTCCCCTCTACTGCCCAGGGATGCTGGGAGCTGGCGAAGTACAGAATGTGGCCCTGGGGGGGGTTCCCAGGTGACTCCAGAAGGACCCCATGGCTGTGCCCCTCTTGGCTGCCCGCTGTGACGCAGACACACGTATGACTCTGCCCTGGCCCGCTGCCCGGCTGCCCACAGAAGACAGCAGCCCAGCGACACGCTGGCGTGCTGTGCTGGGCAGACACGCGAGGCAGCGCACACCATGTCTCCCGCATTATGTATATGCTAACGTAGCCCTTGCACAAAGAGCACTTCTGCTAAATTTAGCCAAGAGAACTGCCTGGCATTTCAGCCTTCCCACACTTCAAGTGGACACATTTCTTCCATGTTATGCCATATTCCTAAAAATATGTGTGCGGTCTCCTCTCAGCTTTCAGACCACGGCAGTTACTTTCCCACTGACTGCTAAGGTCCCCTCCCAAGGGTCCCCACCCCCGGCGTGCAGCGTCCTTCCGTATCAGGCACCCTCGGCCTCCCCCTTGGTCCTTCCAGGTCCTGCAGGGCCCCACGGTCCTGTCTGAAAGGAGAGTCGCCTGCGGGAGGCAGAGCCGGGACCGGAGCCCCACAGGTGCAGGCGGCCCTGAGTG